AAAAAAAAAAAAAAAAAGAAGAAGGATTTTATTATGTGCAATACCAAACATAACGGTAGAATAGGCCAGGTGCAGTCGCTCACGCCTGTAATCACAACACTTTAGGAGACCAAGGTGGGAGGATTGTTGAGCCTAGGAGTTTGAGACTAGCCTGGGCAACATAGTGAGACCTCATCTCTACAAAAAATTGAAAAGTTAGTTGAGTGTGGTGATGTGTGTCTTTAGTCCCAGCTACTCAGGAGGCTGAGGCAGGAGGATCAGCTGAGCCCAGGAGATTGAGGCTACAATGAGCCACCATAGCACCACTCTACTCCAGCCTGGGCCACAGAGGGAGACTCCCGATTCAAAAAAAGCAAACCAAACAAATAAAAAAAATGGAAAAGTTTTAAGCCGGGCATCCTTTCTGGATCTGTCTCTTGCCTTTGGAGTCCCCCTTGTGTCTTTGGTCCCCTCTCTCTGGTATTGTCCTTTGCTTCCTCGAGTCTGTCTTGTCTCTACCCATTTGTATCTCTCTGTCTCTCTGTCTCTGCTGATCTCCCCACAGCGCTCCTGTCCCTGCCTCCATTTCTGGGTCTGTGTCTCTGTCCCAGTGTCTCTTGCTGTCTCTCCGTGACTGTCTGGGGAGGTCTCTGAGCCTTGCCCACCTGTCCGCAGCTCTTTGAGGGCCTGAAGGCCTTCCGGGGCAAGGACCAGCAGGTGCGCCTCTTCCGACCCTGGCTCAACATGGACCGGATGCTGCGCTCGGCGCTGCGCCTCTGCCTGCCGGTGAGGAGCCCGGTCTGCCTGGGGGAGGGGGACGCGCGGGCTGGGGGGACGGCGAGGTCCCTGACTCACCCGGAATCCCCCCAGGGTTTCGACAAGGCAGAGCTGCTGGAGTGCATCCGCCGACTCATCCAGGTGGACAAGGACTGGGTTCCTCGGGAAGCTGGCACCAGCCTCTATGTGCGGCCCACGCTCATTGGGAACGAGGTGGGCCCGACCTGGGGCTGGGGGGGGATCCTGGAGTGGGGGGGTGAGAGGATCCTGGAAGCAGAGGCTGGGGGCATCCTGGAGGGAGGCTGGGGGGGTCTTGAAGAGGGAACTGGGGAGAATCCTTGGGGGGATCTAGGGGGCATCCTGGAAGAG